CTACAACCTCCTTTCAGGCAGTTGTAGAGAGCAATAAGGTCCCCCCTCAGCCTCCTCTTCTCCAGACTAAACAGCTCCAGTTCCCTCAGCCGCTCCTCATAAGACCTGTTCTCCAGACCCCTCACCAGCCTCATTGCCCTTCTCTGGACACGCTCCAGCACCTCAATGTCCTTCCTGTACTGATGGGCGCAAAACTGAACACAGTTCTCCAGGTGCGGCCTCACAAGTGCCGAGTACAGGGGCACGATCACCTCCCTGCTCCTGCCGGCCACACTATTCCTGATCCAAGCCAGGATGCCGTTGGCCTTCTTGGCCACCTGGGCACACTGCTGGCTCATGTTCAGCTGGCTGTCAACCAACACCCCCGGGTCCTTTCCCACTGGGCAGCTTCCCAGCAGTATTTAAGCAGCAGTAGGCAGCGGCTCCTCAGGCAGCGCGGCGACTCGCGCAGCACTGAAGGGAAATCACATCACAAGTTCTGGCTTTTCCCACCAGCTTCTCTCTTTGCATACCGTCATCTAAAGGCACGTCCATATTCGTTATCTGCACTCATCTGGATGGCAGAGAGACCCAGGTGCACAAGTGGCTTTGCTGACTTTTAAATAATCCGTTCGCTTGTTTGCGTTTAAAACAAGTGATAGTCAGTTACGCTTTGGGTACCAAAGGGGTACGCTGATGGAGTTAAGCCTCTCAGAAGCCTTGCTGCAGGCTGGGATAACGTCCATGATGTGCGTGAGAGTCTTTGAACCTTGGGTGTGGGGGTGAACCAAGCGTAAAACAATTTGATGTAGGAAAGATCCCATAGGGCTGCTGACGGCAGAATAGCAGCCAGCAACTTTGGAGAGGGTGGATAGGTATTGATTTGAAATGCTTGTAAACTGAGTTAAAAAAGAGACATTTTAAATATTTTAATTTACTGAAGTTGTTACTAATATTTAATTTAGTGAAGTCAAGTTGTGCTTCTCACAATGCCAATGAAGTCAGAGTTCAACATGGTTTATTTATCCAGACATTCTGGAACACAGGAGTGTTTTATAAACTACGGTGTTGTTGAACAGAACGAAACATTGTGTAATGGCCAAGCTTTAGAAACACCTATGCTGGTTAGTACCTGGGTAAAAACATCGTGTCTGGGTGTTGTTAGGAGAGAAGTTACCTCCTCGAGAGAGGAGCTCTAACCACGGTTACGTCTCTTGTTCGTGCTAACCAAAAAGCTTGCAGCGTTGATAAATCGTTGGGATTTTCTTGTTAAGGTCTTCATGTGACACCAGCAATAAATAATACTGAACTTATGTTTTCTTGTTTCTACTGTGCAGCTACATAATATATCCTAAGGTTACTTCAGTGTTTTTCATAAAGAAGTTTACGAGGATAAACCAATTAAAGAACAGGTATTTAACTGGCTTATCTTCATTTGGCAGTCAACATGTGCGCGGAGGAAAGGTTGCCAACAGCCTAAGGTGTACGCTGTGCAATAACCCCTTCCCTTACACTGCAGATAAATGAGAGCGTGTTATGAATTCTGAAGCCATTTCAGTGTGTCGTTAGCTCAGTGCTTTGGAGTTTTGTTCTGATGCGGTTGCTATGCCAATCTGAGGCAGGAAAACAGTCTTTACAGCGTTTACTGAAAACAGCGCACGTCAGTAGGGAAAAGGGGAAATGAGGGAAAAAAAATCCTGACATCAGTCTGGTACTCGAAGAGAAATCCAAACTCCCCTGTTCTGATGTCCAGCTCTCCCGCATGTGTGCAGAGCGCTCTCCCTCCCATTCTAAGATATTCACATATGACAACAGCCCCAAAACGTAGCAGCGGATAG